CATGTTACACAGTCTACCCGGTGTAACGAGGGGTGCCCGCCAGATAGGAGGAACTCGGAACTTTGGGCCTGTTTTCTTACATCAAATGGGATTTAAGCCCAAGTACATGACATCTTTATGATTTTATGATCATTTTAGTGATTCTTTGGTGCCAGTGAAGTCTTGAGGCGCCCCAAAATCCACACACCCAAACCTCCTGCCCAGCTGGTGGGTTAAAGTGTTGAGCGCATTTGTCGTGTGGGACAGACCGGAGGGCACAGAGCTGGGGACGCCCCTCCCACTTTCCGGGCGGCCTGCCAGGCGCGCAGCCATTCTCCGTGAGGGGTTAGACCTTGAGCAGCACTTCCTGATGGCTTCAGCCAGCCTGGCGTCCTCTGCCCGCCGTGGCAACTCACCTGCTGCCCCGCGGGTTCCTGGTGCTGCAGCACCTGAGCAGGCAGCCCTGCCCTCACTAGCCCGGGCCAGCGCTCAGCCTCCCGGGGTGCAGCACACCCTGCGGGAGGCCGGCGGAGCCAGGCAGGGCTTCCCGTGCGCGTGACCTTTGTCCTCAGGGCCGTTTCATTTAAGTTTGGCTCGGTCACCTTCTAATCCTCCGCTTCCCCAGGTGTGATGCTGTCACTCTTCCTTGTCGTTCTCCTCCACGCCAGGGTCTTGAGGTGCAAGCCTCGTGCAGGTGGGATGGACAGTCTTCCTTTGATACCTTCTGTGCTCATGTATCTAATGCTGTGAAGTCGTGGTTTCTCTTGAGAAATCTAGGTAAGGCATCACTGCCTGCTTTATTAAAAACACTTCAGGGACTTCCCAGGTGGCGCAGTGGTTAAGAAACCTGCCTGCCAATGCAGGGGACACGGGTTCAAGCCCTGGTCCGAGAAGATCCCACATGCCGCGGAGCAACTAAGCCCATGAGCCACAACTGCTGAGCCTGCACTCTAGAGCCCACGAGCCACGACTACTGAGCCCGTGTGCCACAACTACTGAGCCCATGCTCCACAGCAGGAGAAGCCACGGCAATGAGAAGCCCGCACACCGCAACAAAGAGTAGCCCCCGCTCGCCGCCAACTAGAGAAAGTCCACGCGCAGCAACGAAGACCCAACACAGCGAAAAATAAACAGATAAATTTTAAAACAACGACAACAATAACCAGAAAAAAAACACTTCAGAAGTTTGTTCTGGAGCATGTCACCTGCTTTTCTGTGTCCTGATTTGGAATGATGGACAGATTTATGCCAAAACAAATCTGAAATGCAATTCAACGCCAGAACGTTCTTTCTCCAAGCCCAGGGCGATGGGTCTGGCTGTTTCTCAGGGGTCACGACTCCAGGAGAGCTTCACACAGGGCTCTCTGACACACTGAGGTTCGGGGAGCATCCCCGAAGGTGGTACACTGTTGTCCTTTTTGGTCCTACAGGGTCCTTGGGGTTGCCGACAGTTGCATATTCCTTGAAGAAACCCTTAAAACAAACCATACATGACTTTATGTTTGCTGTATAAACGTACCCGTGCTCTCCATTGCTATGTTAAAAAGCTCAACAAAGCCAAATTCATTCTCCAGCCACTAGCCAGCCCTCTTGTGCCAAGTTTAAAAAGAAAAAGAAGTGAAGGGGCTCCAGTGTCACCATATTGGCCTGAGGATTACTCTTTTTTTTTTTAAGGTATTTTTGATGTGGACCATTTTTAAAGTCTTTATTGAATTTGTTATGACACTGCTTCCGTTTTATGTTTTGGTTTCTGGCGGTGAGGCATGTGGGATCTTAGCTTCCCTACCAAGGATTGAACCCACACCCCCTGCACTGGAAGGCACAGTCTTAACCACTGGACCGCCAGGGAAGTCCCAGGATTACTTTTATTGAGGACATCCTGGGAGGTCTCGGGGGGTTGGCCCCTGATGTCACCTCTGCACTGGCCCTGCGGATGTCGGGACGGTTGTCTCTCATCTCCGTCTGCCACACCGGTGCTCTGGCTGCTCTCCTGGGGTCCGGGCTCCCACTCAGTGGTGCTTTCCGGAAGCAGTGGCCACAGGCCTGTGCATTTAGTGTTAGGTGAGTTGCTAGGCTCCCAGGGAGACGTGAATGTGGGATTTAAATGAGTGTGGGCCACGGAGCCCATAATTATCGGGGTTTCAGGGTTCGTCGGTAGGAAGCCTGGAGAAACTCCTCCATAATAAGAGTGGCCGTTAGTGATGCTGTGATACTGTCACACCACAGCTCTTTCAGGGACGAGCAGAGCGAGGCTGGAGGAGAGGGCAGGGCAGAGAATAAATTTCATTTTATTGTAGAAATGGAAATTTGTGTCATGGCTTTAAAAATCTGGTTTTATGTGTGTGTTTAATGCCATTCATTTTAAATATAGTATCATAAATCCTTGCTTCAGAATCAAAGCTGTTTAATTACATTTCACCCATGAATAGTTATCTAATGCCAATAGAGAAAGAGTTAAAACGGAGAACTACAGAGTAAATCAGAGGCTGAGATCTTTAGCACAGGCATAAAAAATCAATTTAAGATGAATTTTACTACTATAAAAATTCTTCAAGTATCCTTTTAAGAGTGGGAAACGCTGGGAAACACAGCTCACATTTCAGTTCCCTTAGCAACCCAGAGGAAACGGCTACCAGCGTGGGCAGCGCCCGGGATGCCCACAGCTCCATGGCCTTTGTTAGATACCCCTGAGTGAACCAGGACATCTGAGTAAGAGGTTGTAACTCCCCAAGCAAGCAGGTTACTGGTGGGTACAGAGCCCCCTGCCTCCCAGGTTAAGATGCCTGCCTGTCTCCTGGACTGTATGCCCCCCACCCAGGGAGCCCCGTTTGCAGGGTGTGATGGCCGAGAAGACCCCTCAAGCCCTGGAGACTTACTGAGTAAGTAGGGAACAGAGCAAGAGAGTCACTGGGAACTTCTCTCTGACATGGAAAAATATTTAAGCCAAGCATGGGGTAGAAGTTCCCCACCTTTCCGTGGGCAGATGTCCTAATGGGGAGAGCAGTCAGGGCAATGAGAAGATAGTTTCCATCCCCAGAAGTCTCTCCAAGATGCCATTCCGCCACCTGTTCCACTAGACGCCGCTCTCTGCCTGTGGACTGAGCCCCCGTCCTTCAGGGTCTCCTGTTGACCAGACCCTGAAAGGGCCCTGTCAGTGCAGGGCCAACCGAGGGCCCTGTGCGTGGGCCTTCCCTCTCCCAGCAACCACTAGAAGCTGGCAACTTGGAGAAGGCCTGGGCCTGCCCAGTCCAGCTGTGTTGCTGGTAGGATCGCCCAACTGGCCAGCTCTACAGAGCCGGGGTCTCAGTGGTCCCCCTCTCTCCCTGGTCATCTTGAAGGGCTCATTTCTTCTTTTCCATTCATTCCCTGGTTCCTTCCTTAAGGCCATTCACATTCACATGCTTATTAGAAAGTCTTCCCTGACCCACCTCTCATTCCATTGTGGAAGAGAGTGGATCCCATCCAAGGAGGGATCTTTCTGGAAAGATCCAAGACCTCTGGAGACTCTTAGACCTACGGAGCACCGTGACTCAGAGACTGAGACCCCAGCACAGGGTTGTTTATGAGACACTGCTTAAAGGTCTTCAGCTGCTGCCCGCTGCTTGCAGGATGAAGTGCACACATTTCTGAATCTGTAAGGCCCTGCACACACTGGTGTGTGTCTCCTCGCAGGTGAGGCCAGGCCTGTGTTCCCCGGGCGCATCAGCCACATCCGTCCTACCTGTGCTGGGCCGCGTTGCCAAGCGGTTGTGGCCTCGCATATTCAGTCGGGCCCTCGTAAGGGTGGTGAGTGTACACTGAAGGAGGCAGCCTGTCGGTTGAGGCCTGCGTGACCGCCCTCGGGATGCTGGGTGGAGTCTTTTCCCACCTTCCCCCAAAAGCCTCAAGCTGCAGCCTCTGAGAAGGAGACTAGAGAAAGCCTGCCCAGCAGGCTGGAAAGTGCAGGGAAGCCTGCCGTCTGTCCAGGGCCTGGGAGGTCAGGAAGGAATGGCATCTGAAGAAATCCGACTTGGCGCCAGTGCTTTTGTGGGTGTGTCGTTCTCAGAAATTAAAGGAAAAGCTGGATCCATCATAAAACTGGGGCTCAGAAGCAGCAAAAGTGAACCCTCTCTAGAGGGACGTTTTCTCAGTCCAGCGGAGCACATTCCCTGAAAATCGGCCCCTGCTGAAGGTGAGAAGTCACCTCCTTGAGGGGAGCCACAGATCCCCAAACAGAAGGATTAGCACCCCGAGTAGAAGAAACAGTGAGACCATCCGAAGTGAGTCTAAGATATGTTGGTTTAAACTTGAGCTAAAAGGGAGCACAGTGACCACAGTGAATGAATGAGAAGACTCAGAAGAGAACCAAATAGAAGTCCCGGGCACGAAAGTCACAGCAACTGAAATGAGCCTCGCAGAGCGACCAGCACGTAGAGTAGACTCTCTGAAGCCTGAGACCCAGTGTGAACTCGGAGGGGGTCCCCCAGAAGCCAGCTCAAAGCCACAGAGCACATGGAACCGTGCTGGTCTGTCGTTGAAACGTGATGGGAGGGGTGGGTGCCTGCAGGCTAATTACTTGGATGGTATCGAGATTTCTGGAAAATATTTTTTAAGATGAGTACTTGGTGATTCTACAGATCAAAACTGGTGCAGGTGATAGCCTTAGGAAGGGGCAGGCACGCTCCCCCTGGAGTTGCTTCTGTGCTTGTCATCCTCGTGCTCTCACATCCCTGCTCTGCAGGGTGACTGCAGACAGCCCCAAACAGAAGAGCTCAGGTACCGGGCGTCCTTCCTGGGCACTGCCCCTTTCCAGAGATCGTGTCCTCACAGCTGGAGGTGGAAGCGCGGGTGGGATGACCCGGGCCGCGTCCTCCGTCCTCCTGCCGGCACCTTTCCGCTGTCCTGGCGCAGGCGAGACCTGCATACCTGCAAGGCAGCTACGGGCTGACCCACTTAGATGCAGTGGGCGTGTTCTGTTTGCTTCTTAGTCACGTGGACGCTGGGCCTAGAGGCTGAATCAGCTCCTGTTATCTCTTTTGCAGCCCCGTGGAGGCCCCCGCTCCTCCTGAGCGGCTCGGAGGCCCAGAGGAAGTGACGGAGCCCCTGGCGCAGTGTGCGGCTTGGCTGGGTGCCTATTTCCATGAGCCCGCGGTCCTCGAGGAGCGCCCCGTGCCTGCTCTTCACCATCCCATTTTCCAGAAAGGTCAGTACCTCGGCCACCTCGCAGTGTTTGGTTCAGGGGGGCTGACCTATTGACTGTCACTGACCTCCCAGCTCAGGTTACTGACTACACTGACGTGGCGTTTTCACATCGTCTGAACAGAGGCGGCGTGTGGCCGCACTGGATGGATAGGAGTGCGCAGTCTCCACCCGTTCCAAGTGGTTGTGTTAGTTTTGGCACGTGGTCACGTAATTCTTGGCAAAGGCAATAAAAATGATTCATGTAGATGGGCTCCTGACTCTCGCTGGCTGAAAGGTTTAAATAGGAACACATCTGAATGGCAGTAAGTTTTTCAATAAGCTTATTGTTAACTTCATCTGCTTGCCAACAGCACAGAAAACGAGGCTCATACATGGACAATTGGCCACTTCCATACACTCAGTCAGTGACACTTAACGTTGGAGTGGGTAGCGGCAGTGTGTCTTCTTGAATAAGTTTTCAGGTTAACCCCTCAAATTTACCATAGTTCAATAATTGTATTCTCGGGCTTCCCTGGTGGCACAGTGGTTAAGAGTCCGCCTGCCGATGCAGGGGACACGGGTTCGTGCCCCGGTCCGGGAGGATCCCACATGCCGCGGAGAGGCTGGGCCCGTGAGCCATGGCCGCTGAGCCTGCGCGTCCGGAGCCTGTGCTCCGCAACGGGAGAGGCCACAACAGTGAGAGGCCCATGTACCACAAAAAAAATAAAAAATAAAAATAATAATAATAATTGTATTCTCAAGGGATGAATTATTGTAGGATGAACTTATTGTCTACATGCGGTGTGCCGATGGAATATAGAGTCTGCGAAAACCTAAAAACACTTTCCCAGACGTTTCTTTGTAAGCTTTTGTTCGCAGCTTCATTATGGCAACTAGAGTCATTCTAGACATATACCAGGGGTTTATTTCACATGGTGATTTTTTCATGGTCATCTTAGTATTAATGAGTGTATACTTACATATAGATATATACGTATAGATGCATACACTTAAGGAAAAAAAATTACCCTGAGATTTTAGATGAGGTAAATTGAAAGCCATTTTGAATTTCAAAATGGAATTCGCTCAATAAGTTTAATGGTTCTAAATGCTGCTGTGGCTTTCAGCAAAAATGAACTTGAAGGTGGAGCAGGTTCAGGGGAAGCAGGTAGAAAAGTTCAAGCCAGTTGAGCTGATACCTGAGTTGACTAACAAGGTCCAATGAGTGACCAGGTAGGTAGGACCCTGGACGTTTTTGCTCGTAATGAACTGAAGCTGAGCTGGGTACCACGTCAGCCCCCTTGCATCACGTCGGGCTGTCTCCAGACGGTGTCTTCCATTGGGAGCCCCAGAACGTCTAAAAGGGCGTCTCTAGGACAGGGCGTGAGAGCTGGAGTGGGCCTTTGCCCCACGCCCTACTCACGTCCAGAGACCCTCCGTTGTTGCTCCCGAGAATGGGGCCCTCGCGGGCCGAGGTGGTGCTGTGGCCGCGTCGCCCCCCTGCCCAGCACTGACCGCCTGCTCGGAACCAGCACCTCAGGTCGCCGGGCTGGGTCGAGGGTGTGGGTGACCCTCCTCGTGTGCCCCTCCCCCTTGCCAGGCGCAGGATGGGGGTCCTGCTGCGGGTTTGTTTTTACAGTGGGGGCTTGGGAACCTTGGAACAGTGAACTCTTCGATCTCCTGTTGCCATTTGGGGGTTACTGCCCTGGCAGGAGCAGGAGAGAACTGGCCAAGCGGCTCTCCTTCTCTTTACATGTATCACCTAAGTGAGCTGAAATTTAAGGGTTAGAAAATTTCAGAGCAGAGAAATTAGGAAACCAGGTCAGGAAGGATCTGTATGATCTAACGAGGGGGTCAGCAGGGGGTGAGCTTATAAAATCCTGAAGTCCTGTCCTCAGTGCTTGAAGAGAGTTGGGACCACTCTCACCCTGCTGCCCCCCGCCTTCCCGGCTCTGGGCCCGAGCTTGGCCATCTCCTCTGCCAGCTGGTCATGGTCATGGTCATGGTCATGGTCATGATCATGGTCAGTCTGGGCAACCAGGACAAGCTGCAGGTAGGCACTGGGGAAGGATGAAGTCCGTCCAGTCACCCGTAGCCCATCCCCTGTTGGACAAGCCCTGCAGAGCTGGTGGATACTCACTACTGGGGCCAGGTACCCTCCAGCTGGGTTTTGGGGTGAGGGCAGCCTCTCGCACCGCCCTGGTGGCAGGAGATCCCCCAGGCTAGGCCCGCCTGCTGACAGTTAATGGTTGCTGTAGGGCCAGGTGTTTCTGATTTAGCTCAGTCACGCCTCCCAGGCAGGGGCCAGGTGTGGGGATTTTACATTTTAACAAGGGAGGTGGTGGATGGTTGTAATATGATTGCTAAAACGGAGTTAATTGGCACTAACCCCCAGATGTGGTGACACCCCTTTCTGTCCAGCGGTGGTTGGCTTTGCTGTCTTTCTCTGTGTCCCTTAGCCAGTGAAATTGTGGTGAGCGGAAAAGGCCCACACAAGGAAAGTGCCCTGGCAGCCCCAGAGCTTCTAGAAGCTGTGAATCAACACAAGAAAAGAAACCTTTGCAAATGGGGAGGAATGGGTGCGTTTATCGTGGAAAAAATGCTTCCTTGGCAAATGCTATTTTCTGTGCATCTCAGATTTTGAACACGTTTAACATCCTTTTGGGTGTCATTTTTCATCATAGTCCTCTGAGATTTAGAGCAGACCTCCCTGTTTCAACTTGGTTAGAAGCGTAGTGATAACTGAGCTCCTCCTTGAGTTCAGCACTTCCGCAGGTAACTCCCAGAACCCGGCCTGGAAGGCTCTGGCCTCTGCTCCGGCTGCGCTGTCTGTTCCACTACCCCGGGCCTGGCCTGGCCTGGCCTGCTGCTGCCCAGAGGCCCCTCTGCTCGGGCAGGACCGCTCTCCTCTCAGGCTCCTTCCTCCAGATCAGTGTGGTGTTCTCCATCTAGTTGTTTTGTTAGGCTGGTCACAAAACGGTGCTGAGTTGAACCATACGGAATTGCCATTTTGTAGGTTAAAACATCAAATATTGGAAATTTCACATCATTCAACTTGTTACCTTGGAGGATTTCTGAAGTCTAAGTAGGAACAAGTTAATTATCTAGGTATTTCTGGCAAGAAACCGTTGAGCTGTCCTCCTGACCAGAAGCCTGGAGGCCTAGGTGGCTGCCTTTTTCTTGGGCCGCAGCAGGTGGGGTTTCTCTGTGGGAAAGAGAGGCCGCAGTTACCGGGGGTGAGGTTCGTGGTGCTGTTGAAGAAATGAAAGTGAAGCGTGAGTGTGAATAAGAAGTGTTCTAATTCCTTGTGGGATTGTCGTTTTAGTCATTTAATTTCAAAAACAAATTAACGTTTTGTTTTCTGAGTTTTGTGAAGGGAGTTTGTGTGTTGCTCAGGAGCTAGCCGTCTTGTAATGCAGTGAAGCATTTAGGGAGGTCGGGTCCTCCCTATAATATAACCTCTTAAAAAGGTCCGATTTGTTTATTTTGAATTCATTTTTCTCCAAGAAATAGTTGTTTAACGAAGCCATTATTCCTGAAATACATCTTACTCTTTCTTTCATAATAAAATATCATTTAAACTTATTTTCTGTGAATACTCCCTCACTTCTTTATATTTACTTATAAAAAATTTTTAGCTTCTTTGTATAATATACATCTTAACGCTTGTAGCCTTAGAGATCGATCGCAAAAGCAGTTGGAGTGACTAAAGAAGCGCTGTACCAAAAGCAGTATTTCACACTGAGTTCAAGAAGAGCAGGCCTGTGAAAGGCTAAGATCTGCTTTCAGACCCAGAATGTGTGTGTGTGGACACTCCCTTCCCTCTGCCCCTGAAGACCCTCCTGGGCAGGTGTGGCCAGGCGGTGGGCGGCAGGCCTGCCAGGCGTGCGGCTTTGTGCTTTTCCTGCCAGCCTGGAGTGCCCTCGCTGGGCAAGTGCCTGGCCTGTGCCGAGGACATCACAGGAGGCCGTCCCCGGGGCACATGTGGAGGCCCTTGACTGTCCTCCCTGTGCGGTCTCACACATGACGGTTTTCAACAGATGAGTTCTGAGTTTTCTTTTCAAAGTGACTGCAATGTTCCCTTTTAAATGAAATATTTAACACTTTAATAATTCCTTTGTCACAGCTATTAGCTTGTAGCTATGAAATCCAGCTGCATGACAGTAGTAAAACCTGCATTTTTTTAAAACCTGCTGGCTAGAGGGAAGTTTCCTTGCAACTTCTATTTCAGAGACTCTGTAAGGAGTCCTGTAATTCTGTATCCCCGTCAAACCCTCTTTCAAAAGGGCCTCTAGAAAACCCTACCAGTCAGTTAGGGGAAAGGCCCTTTCAGGGCACATGAATTAATTTCCCCACTGTGTCCTAAATGTGGGGTCCCACTGAGCCCCCTTCATTCAGTGCCCTGGAGGCCTGCTTTGGTGTGCATGTCGCCTTACACGCCATAAAGCCAGCCCAGTCAGCCTCCGGAGGGTGTCGCCGTGGAGAGGAGCGCGTCTCCTCTCAGGCTCCCTTCTGGGTCTGCAGCAGGAGGCAGCTCTGTGCTTTCAGGCGGTTTGTACTAGTATTTTTCCTGAATTTAAAAAAAAGGAATTACAATTTAAAGAGAAAATAGCTAAAGTGGGAGATGCTTTACAGGTTCTGGTTGATAGCCATCGCTGTTCTCGTGTTCTTTAAATGAGGGCTTCTAAAAATGGTTGACCTTGCTGAGATATTACCTGGTGGGGCTGGAAGGTTCATAAACCTTACGGTGCCCGTTTACTGATTAGAACAAGCTAAGGCTTGCACTTAAATTAAGTGGGAAGGAAACAGCTGGTGAGAACGGACTTCTTTCAACCCTAGAGCTGCTGAGCTGCTTTTCAGGGCTAATAGACGTGGAGATCTGGGTCTGTGGCCTTCTAAGGCTGAGGCTGGGAAAGGTGAAATGAAAAGACCAGATCAAAAGCCTGAGAGCGGGTGGCAGGCCATGGAGCCCAAGGTGCCGGGAAGGTGGTCGGAGGTCTCAAATCGATACAGGAGGCCACC